TTTTAGGGCTTGGGTTGGCTGATTGGGTCAAGTTGCCTAAGGCACTGGCCAACCTGTCTTAAAGGTGGAGTCGGATCAGTTGGCTTCGGGTTGAGGCGAAGCATCCAACCAAATTGCAACCCTATGGAGTTTCTTATGTTGAGTGGAATCTAAAACCTTTTGCAGGGAAGAGACAGATGAGTTATGTCGAACATTGGAGGAGAATGAAGATAAGTTGCGCACAGCCTCTGAGCTGGCAGATGTACTTTATCATGCTATGGTGCTATTGGCAGTTAAAGATGTTAGGATAGAAGAAGTGCTCCAGCTCCTAAGACACCGTTTCTCTCAGTCAAGCATTGAGGAAAAGAAGAGTCGAAAATCAAACAGCTAAATCTTCATTGCTATCTATGTTGAGAGATCCCCATGCAGTCCATCACCATCATTATGCTGCCTAGGAGTTGCCACAAAATGCAAAGAGAACATTCTCAAAACTTTTGCAGCTCCAAACTCTGAAATTGTAAATGCTGGTTGGTTTTGTAATTTCAATATGACCCTCCACCACCTTTCGGCAAGTTTGATATATTGTTTGACAGGACATATCAATTTTGCATGGGAGAACAATTTGTGGGTTTTTTCATGTTTCATTACCCACTTCACTATCGTAAGTTTATGATTCTAAATAGCACATGTATTAAAACCTTTGCCAATGCATTTATGTTGCTTTATGAGTTTACAAGTTAGATGTAACTTGATGTGATTTCTAGTATCATTATAAGTTAATAACAAGTTGGTGTGCTTGTATCACTAACTAGGGCATAAATAGGGTGGATTCGAGCTGAGCCAAGCTGAATATCTAGTTATTCGGGCTTGGCTCACTACTAAATTATCAAGCTTGAGCTCAGTTGCCTTTGATTGCAGGTCTCCCTCAGCTGTCAAGGTGTTGAGCCAATAGCTGCCAAGGTGTCGAGCCGTGGTCTCCCTCAGTAGCTGAAGTGGCACCCTATGTATATATGTAAAAGCTCGATTAGGCTCATGAGGCTTATTAGGCGTGAACTTGGCTCGATTAACAAACGAGTCTATATATTAAGCTTGACTTTGGCTCAAAGCTTGGTTTAGACCGAGCCAAGCTGAGTTTTTCATGAGCTAAGTTGAGCTTTCCATGAGCCAAGCTCGAACAACTCATGAAAAGCTCGACTCATGGCCACCCCTAAGCATAGTACTATTTACTAGTTGGGACCCATGCCATGCATGGGCTTTGTTAAATGAAATTGACAAAGGAGCCTTTTGGCGTTCCAGAGCTATTCATGTTTAGACAAAAAACACTATCTTATTTCAAGATGAGCCCCTGATTGATAATTCATGACCTTAGAATTTAAAACTAATTAGGCTTAGACGGTAGACATGAATAACCATGTATTTTCCCCTATCTATTGATGATAGGGATAAGCCTATGAAAGGTATTACTACTCACCCCAAAACTTAAATGAACTTGGCTAGTGAGCAAGTGAACCATCTCGTTGAACCATTAAACCTTTTGAGTTTTGACCCAGCCAACGTGTGTGAATTGGATATAAAATCTTTTTTTTTTTGTGTGTGTGTGTGTGTTTTTTAGCCATTTCCAACACCAAGAGTGCTGGATCTTTAATCAAGTACGGATTGTTTCAGATCAAGGTCTTGAGCATGCTCAAGAATAGGATCTTGCTTATTTCAGAGGGATTTGGAGGAATTTGAGGCTGAGATTTAGTGTGATTGGTTGTTTAAAGGTCTTATTTCATGTAAACGAGTCTTATTGTATGATAGGTGTTGTGAGGTGGCATAATCGTGGTCATTAGAAAGGAATTTTATGGATTTGAGGGCATATGAACTGAGATTTGGTTTTCTGGGAGTTTAGATATGTTCTGTAAGAATGGGGGCCTGATCGAGTACCCAGGGTATAGGAAGTGGGCCAAGATGTGGCCAAACAAAAATTGGGTGCTGACATCGGGCACCCTCGTACAACTTGGATCCTCAAGGGGACCCATAGAGCAAGCCCTTTGGTGACCCCTTCTATTTCTAAGGTATCATTGGGGTGAACCTTCCAGTTGGGGTAGTACTAGACTACTAGTAAACTTTGCCCTTTGCTTCCTTCAAGGTTTGCCCCTCTATGCTTTTGTTTGTTCAGTTGCTTGCTACTTCATGGAAGGCCTCATCTCAAACCTGCAACCACAACTTTATTCCTTGCCTATGGCGCTGTGCTCTCACGAAGCACCTTATTTGCTGCTCCTCGTTGGCATCCATATTCATACCTTCACAACACCGACCAAAGTTAGTACTTGGAAAGAAAACTATAAAGGATCAAACGTTTGACGGCTCGGTAACCAATCAAGCTGAGTTGGGCATAACCCAACATGGATCGAAAAAGCATTAGTGGTATACTCCTTGATGTTAACCTCAATCTTGGCCATGTGTGCCAAGGCTCCCTGCTCCTCCTTGGAGAGGTCTTTTGAATTGAGCATCTTCAACTTAGTCCTCAGGACGACAAGTTTGGACCCAAAAAAAAAAAAAAAAAAATCCCCTTCCTATTAGGGGTGTTAATTGGACTAGATTTGGTTCAATCCGATCCAATCCAATGTGAGTCCATTACAAATGAACCTGATTCAATCCAGTCTAATGAATATTTTGAACCGGTCCAGAGACTGTCCAATCTGTTCAAATTCCTGTTAATTTAGATTGGCTTCAACTCAAACCTGGTCCATTGACACCTATGTTCTTATCATCTATCAATGGACCAGATATTGGCTCAATCCAATATAAATTCATTATGGACGGACCAGGTCCAATCCAATATGTCATATTGGTCCATCCAAATTCAATGTCTTATTGGTCCGTCCAGTCCGTCCAAATGGATTTTGATTTGGACGGAGTCCAACCCAAAACTGGTCCATTGACACCCCCTACTTGCTATCATGGATGAAGGAGGGGGCTCTGAAGAGCACTGTCAAGTTCAGCCATGTAGAGAAATAGTAATACCCCCTCTGTTGAAGCTTCTTTTGAGAGAAACGGTTGTAAAAGATGAAAAATGTCATCAACAGGTCATGGATGGTATAAAAACAAAGGCGTACGATCACGTATCAAAAGGAGTTGGGCCTTAACTAAACTAAACAGGTTTCTCCCTTGGAAATTTGCTTCTATCTTGATTGGGCTGAAAATTTTTTGAAATTACATGCTTCCCACCATCAAGATCCGACCTTTTGGGGTCTCTTGCAACCCAATAAACAACTGCTCCCTAATCCTAACATATCCTCCTCAAACAAGAAACAAAAGGGTGTTCACAAGACTAATTAGGGCCCAAATTGAGATCTCCTCCTCATGGGCATCTTCTTCAAACTTCAACTCGGAGGATGTCCACTTTAACCTCGACCTCATTGGCATTAGTCTTTGCTTATTACCCGAGCTCTAGCTACATAATCTGTAAGGAAGACAAAGGTGAAGACACGAAGAAGCACTTAGCGGGAACAAGATCTACGTCGAAGCTAAAAGTACTCTAGACAAAGACCCAAGAGAAGGTTCCTGATGATCAACTTCATTTCTATAAACTCAATGCATTCAAGCCGCTAGCACTCCTAGTTAATGTAAATATTAGAATTTGAAATTGAAGGATCCGCTAACTATTTTGTTCAAAGCAGCATCACTTCTGGTGCTGGCACATATGCTGAGTCATGAAAGATGCAAGAGGAATTCATGGATATATTACTCCTGACATATGCTCCATGGGGACGAAGAAAGGTTATAGAGATGGGTAAAATTGGGTTTTGAAAATTAACCAGTGCATAGTGTGATGTACAAACAAATCTGGATCTGGATGGGGGGGGGATGTTTCAGTATTTAAGAGAAACTTCAATGGAGGTTTAAGTTTTTACCCAAATTTTTAAATGAGAGAATTGAAACTAGGTAGTTTTACAATTGAGCACAATAAGAGCTCGTCCTCCTAAAGGCTGCCAAACACCTCGCTCCTTGACTTTGGAACTACGGGGTAGGTAATGGAGGTATGAACCATCCTAGTTGAGCTACCACGTGGATTCTTATGTAGACGACACCTGGCTGAGCTATGCAACACAACTGACGTGGAGCAAGACCACTCGCGGTAGAGATCATCAATGGGGAAAAACTTTAGCTGTTGAGAGGGAGGATTTTTCATCTGAAAATGCTTCGTTACCATGAGAATGGATAAATTAGTAATTACATCTTAATTTATTTTAACTAAAAACCAAAGTATGGGCATGAATAGATGAACACATTACGCACACCAACCAAAGCCCAACCTTCCTCACCCTTCATTTCGCATCTCATGCGAAGAACGCAGAACCAATTCTTTAGAACCACGGTCGAGAACAGCCTTGAGAAGTGAGATGCATTCCACAAAAGTGAGGAGCATAACGGCATTACCCGGTTACCCCACCACAACTATATAAGGGATACACCTTCCCAAACTTTGAAACCCCCCATACCCCTTTATCAATGTATTCACAGGTCTCCATGACCTTGAATACACGGATGGTTGAGATCACCCAATTATGTTAAGCAAATGGTTATAGAGTTCGGCTTCTGTCAGGGCAAATTGATGCTCGCACCGTTCAAACAGTCCTGGGAATAAATAAAGGCTGATGGAACGGGCTTGCCCTGACCGAAGCCGGGCTCATGGTTAATATGCTTGTAACTTGTAAAAATACAGATGAATTCAACAATTATTAGATAGAGAACAAGAGCTTGAACCCAATTCATCTATGCCATACGGTCTCAAGGGTATTTAAACGAGCGAGGAGAAACGGCAATTAGAATGATGGACAGATTGGCTAAACAAGAAACTGCTGAATAACAAATATTTTGGGAAAAACTCTGAAGTTATTCTTGTTGGAGAATTTTCCACCTTGATGTAATATATTCATTTATCCTTGTTGATCAGGAAAAAAATCCATCTTTGCCATGCAGCCCAAAAAAGGACAAATATCAAAGCAAAACTATCCACATAATCAAAGCAATGGTGAAAGAATAAACAGCCTATCATTGAAGACTACTATTACTGAACAACATTCGATCATATCCAGCTTCAAAAAGATTTACAGCTACATTACCGCCTTATTGTTCCATGAGATATATTTCTCTTCTGTATATATATGGAAGGATGAAACAATTCCTAAATCTTTTACATGGATTCATACATAAATACAAAAAAGAAGCCACCAGGTAGCCTATCCGCTCAAGCTCCTCCCTTCCCTGTCGAATGGCTTCTAACAGAAAATGCATCATGACAGGAGTTTGCATCACTGCTGTGATAAGCAAGTGCTATGACGGGGATGAGCTGTCATCATCGGAAGAACTATATTGCTGCCGTCCGTGAAATCTAGGAAAAACCGGAGGCATTGTTGGGTTGGCTGGCATAGGAAATGGTCGAGCTGAACTTACTATTGTTCTTTCATTGATCTTCCCAACTTCCTTACAGACTTGATCAAGAGTTGAAAGAAAGTCCCTTACCACCATGAAAATCCTGAATGGGTGTGCTTCTTCCTTGGCTGAATTTCCATGAAAGTATTCAGTTAACTCCCTCACTAGAGAAAGAGTTACACTCTCTTGTGCCTGAACCCGGATAATCTCCTCCTCTGCCCTCTTCAAGAACCCATTCATCGACTCTGAGAATTTGCGGTTGCTCTCCCTCAACCCCATTGCTTCATTCAACCTTGCCACCTCGCTAATGTTCCCGATTCCTCTAGCAAGCTTTGAGACTTCACCACTAAGTACATCAGAGTCCATGGCAGCAGCCTTCTTCACATTCGTCAGTTCCCCACTAAGGCCAGCTACAACTTGCAGTCCTAACTTCCTAAATTCAACATCATCCCTAAAGGCAGATTGTTGGTTTTTTCCATTGATTGGACCCTGATTGGCACCAGAAAGTCGAGAGCCTTCCACTCTAATGATTTCCTGTACAACAAAATGCAATAGCGTGGTCTTCCCATCAGTGCCTTTGACATCTACGAGCTTGAGAAGAGTGTCAAGCTTGAAAGCATGGGCATCCCCACGGTTGGTTCCAACATTCATGCGGTTTCCAGTCTTTAGAACAGCTTCTAGAAGCTTCAAAAACATCCTGCTGTTTCTCAGTTCTTCACAGGCCGCCTGCAAAAAGTGGCTATTATTGAATGCTATTAACTCGAGAACCTAGCTTTTCACAAAGATGAAATACCTACTTGAATTTGCCATCTATCTACACAGCTTTACCAGACTGTGCATAATAGGTAGGATAGTTAGAAGCAGTCGATCAGGAAAGATCATATCACACCATAGATACTGCAACAGGACAAGCTCTATGGCATATATGCTGTGTGTGGTGCATTCAAAAATGAATATTTCATCTAGTCCTGTCATCCTTCTTGTACTTTTTGTAAATATATCCAATGAATGTAATAAGTCAATTTTAAGAAGGGCAAAGAAATTATGCCCCATATAACCACCACAGTATTCGGTGAAACTTCCAGTATCTATTAAGTTTAATAAAATTTGCTAAAAATGCTATAAATATGTTTTTATGATAACAAGCATGAAAATCATAAAGAGTTAAGGGAATAACTTGTGAAAACAAGTATAATTCCATCCTATAATATCCATGCAGTATCCAGTGTCATAATTGACGCCATGTAATGTTGACAAAGGTGCATTAGGCATGTTCAAATATTACAGGTCTGTTACATAATTCCACAGAAGTACATAACAATAATAAACAGGTTGTGGGGTATTTCTTATCATTAAAAACAATCAAAAAGGATTTATTAATAATGCAAAAGAGAAAAGCTATGCAACCAAAAATGGGTCTGAGTGCAGGGAACAATGCACAGCATGATAAACAAGTCACGGTTTTGAACATATGGTCATTGGGTTAGACTGTTTTAACTTGCATGCAATCTCATTAAAACAATCATTCCTTTCCATGGAATAATAAATGATTAAGCGGCACAGAAAAAAAGTCTGCACTTGTATTCCTGAGCTAGTGTTTCCTACAGTGTTGCATGTCACTGGTCAAAGAAAATGAAACAGAATTTTACATTGGTCTCTTATATGAACAGGTCAAGCCACTAAGGTTGACAATTCATTTGGGGTTGCAGGTGCTCCTTGTTGATTGAACTTTGAGTGAAGAACTAGGCAGGGAAGAATGAAGAAGAAAGCTGAACATGACCAACTACTTGACTCGAGACTCTTTCAGAGCCAGGTAGACATGGACCACAGTTTGTTATTTGTACAGCTAGGACAACTATGTGGTTATGTGTTAGTCCAGCTGACTCCTGGACTGGCATACTTGTATTGCTGTATCATACTGATTTCTCGAATATCAGCAAGTGACAATTTTGACCTTGATACTTTGAAATCAGCCATGTCGAGAGCATTTTGGACAAGAAAACAGTTTAGGATAAGCATGTGTAGGAGTAGAAGTTGGAAATTGGAAGATGATTCAAAAATGAAAACTACAAAATTTTTTACCAATAAATAACTAAAATTGATGATTGGAATTTACCTCTAGAGTTTCAAATGACTTCCTAAGGTACTCAACTTCTGAATCAAAATTGGCTATGTAAAGCATTGCATCCACCCTCTTAAACGCAAAGGGAATATCAAGAACCGCCTTGAGAAATCTCTCCGCAGGGCCAAGCTTGAATGGTGAATCATCTTTATACTCTCTTAGTTTACGTTCTTCCTCTTTGGTTGGAGCCATCTTTAACAAACTCTCAAGAAGCTCAGTTCCCAGGGTATCTGCGTTACCTGTTGCAAGTACAAATTTTACAAATTGATCACAATCTATTACTGAAACAAAGTAAGCATGTGCATCCCACAGAACCATAAGAGCATAGCTGAATAATGTAAGATTCTCTAACAACATGCCGAATACAAAATGAAGTGAGATAGAGATAATAGGCATATAGAAACACTTAATAATTTAAGAGACTCTTTTAACAGGCAGAATACCAAAAGAGTAATATCACCAGGAAGAAGATCATCATTATGTTTTTCAAGGTAGTCTTACAAATAGAAAGGAGTAGGAGACAACATTTCACCAACCCAATAATCAAAGTTCTACTTGCAAAACTATCATAAATCAATATGCTTTGTGAGATTAAAAGCAAGCTAAAAAAGACCATAAAAGGCCATAAAAAAACAACTAAAAATTAACAACATTTAAAATTTATGCAACATGAAAACAAAATTCCCATCTTTATTTACACAAGGAAAACCTAGCATCCTTTAAAAATTAAACAGAAACGTGGAAGTATTTCTATAGGGGCTCAAATAGAACTAAACCAATCAAGGAAATACCACCATTTGAATGGACAGAGGTGTTATTTTTTCTTCTTGTAATAAATAGGCAGAGCTTAGGAGCTAATAAATGTTTGCTTTCAAATTAATATGAACAATATGAGAAACATAAGAGTGTATGACTGTATTCAACTCAACTCAGCAAGGTAACAGTTTAACAGATAAAGCCAAAAATTGTATAATACAACAACTTAAACAGGACATGAAGCAATTTCCATTTCAGATAAAATAAAACACAAATCTAAGTAAGATTGTGCACAAGAGAAAACCACAGTCAAGTTATGGGAATGGGCATAACCGTTCAGTAAATTCAACCCAGTAAGAGAAGGATCCGTCAGTTCTATGGCACAATATGAAACAAAGTGAGAACATCACCAATTTTGACTCGAATAACTTTGTTACCTTCCAACAGGGCTTCACAAACTTCCTCAATGGTCACATTCAGTGCCCGCAACAGAATAGCAATATTCTGAGATTTTTTTGGATCAAGTACCCTATTCTCTTGGTTAGATGAGGGGAGGACTGGACGGCGAGTCATCTCCTTTGGATTCAAGCTAGAAGCATTAACGACAAACAATGTCTCGATCATCTCCTCGTTCAATCTGCATCCAATCAAATTTTACAACTTAAGAGAAACACCACCCGAGAAGAAAACAAACTAGATGTTTTTCACCCAGAGCCAAGCCTGGTGACACCAGAAAAGAGAATTGAGAGACAGAGATTTAGAAAAAAAAAATCTTACTGGAAAGAACTGGATTTCAACTGATCCCAAACCATTGCACGATCGGAGCTTGCCCTAACCTTGTCCCAATGTAATGGCTTCAGCTTTGGCTTTGGAGTCTCCTCACTTCTCTCCAAGTTATGGGAATTCTGCGTCAATCCACTCGGAGAAAGTGCTTGTGAATTCTGGAAGACAACTGGTCTAGAAGGAGTAATAAGTTCGGGTGGCCTACTTAACGGTTCATGGATGGGTGGAGGACGAGTTGGAGCTTCCCAGAATCTAGGTGGAGGAGGGGGCGGGGGTGGCGGTGGTGGGACAGAAACCGGGTGCCTAAAAATTCTGTCCATCCTCGCTGGAGACTGCCGATCTTGGACAGAAACATCAGAAATTCTTGTGGGTGAATGTGAGCTTTTCTCCGAATCAGAAATTCTTGTGGGTGAATGTGGGTTTTTCTCCGAATCAGAAATGCTAGTGGGTGAATGTTGGCATTTCTCCGAATCAGAAATTCTTGTAGGTGAATGTGAGATTTTGTCGGAATCCCTCTCTGGAGGCGAAGAAGGCGGCGAGGGAGAAGGGAGCTTTCTCTTCGGAGGTGATGGAGTCATCGGACGCGGTGGTGCCGGCGGTGGAGGCAAAGTGGTGACAAAATCTGGAAATTTTGATTTTAAGCTTCTGGAACCTAGGCTAATTGGTGGGGAAGGACTGTTAGACATAGATGGAGTTGGCGAGGCTGAATCCGAAGACGGGTACGATGGAGTACTCGATTTTGAGCTTCGGCTTGCAAAATTCTCTACCGAAGTAGCCGGAAACGCCCTACGAGAGCTCGACCCAGTAGCAGTCAAGCTCTCCTTGCCGCCAGTAGAGCTTCTCGGGGAGTAAAATTCCTCTTCTTCCTCATCTCCAGACGAACTATCTTCTGCATTATCATTCTGCCTGAAACTCTGACGGGAGAGTGGCGGAAGCGGGTGGAGCTCAGGAGAACTCAGTTTCCTATACGAGGAGACGCCACCGCCACCACCACCACCACCGGCGTCGGCACCTCCCCCAAGACTGCGGGCATCGGCATCTCCATCGATCCCACGGGAGTTGATGAGAGTGCCCAGGTAGAGAAACTCAGAGCTAGTGGCAGATGCGCCTCGAAGCTTGGGAGGTCCATCAGAGGGGCCGGCATTCGCCGGGAACAACCGATGACTGTCGGATCTGGTGGTCTTGGTGTCGTAGAAATTTTGCCGTCTCCGGCGGTAAACAACGAAAGCGAAAGCTGCGATAAAGACTAAGGAAAGAAGAGCGAGGACGATGCAGACGGCGAGAAGCTTGGGCGAGAAGGATTTGTGGCGAGGAGACTGAGGGAAGATAAGAGAGGAGATATTAGCAGGAAATGTGGGAAGGGAAGAAGAAGTAGAAGGAGGGGGAGGTGGGGAAGGAAAAGATGGGAAGAATGGTGGACTGTTGGTTGAAGAAGAAAATGGGAATTTGGGTAGTTGTTGAGGAGGTGGAGATGAAGATGGAGGTTGGGTTGGGGGGAATGAGTCCAGAGGAAAGAAGGGTTGATGGAGGATCCGGCGGTAGTGACTGCGAAGGGGCGTGCAGGTCAGGTGGTGGGGAGTACAGGATAACAGGAGGAAGAGGAGGAAGAAGGTGGGCATTGTGGGTTTCAACTCTCTCAGAAGAAAGAGAGAGGCTGCTGCCTGTAGATGGAGAAATGCAGTGATGGTAGATGCTGTGTGGACTGTGGGGACTGTATTGACTGAGAGGTGGTTTAGAAAGAGAGAGAATCAGTTCTTTGGTGAGTGGTTTGGAGGAGATAGATAGAGGATTGTTCTTTCATGGGCATTTTGGAAATTTAGAGCTCAGATTAGCTCGAGGGAAAGCTCAAACAAGAATGTGATGGTCTGAACTCTGAGGTGTGAGAGAGAGAACGAGAGATGAGCAGTGTTGATGTTGTACTAATGGAGATTATTTCTCAGAAAATGGGGAAGAAGAGAAGGTTTGCTACATGATACACACTCAGAGCATGGAATGAGATGTGCAGTATGGTTTGATGGAGATTCTTGGATTCGGTGGTAACGTAGTATAGAGAAACCCCAGATAGAACATAATGAGTGTTTAGTTTAGTTTTTCAAGAACGAACAGGAAAAAGGCAGAGAAAAGAGGAGAGAGAGAGAGAGAGAGAGAGCTCGGAGAAGAAGCTGTGGATTATTTTACAAGGGGATTGAATGTTGGACACGGGTGAGAGAAGGGTTATCGAAGGCATGGAATATGGTTCAAAATCTCTGACATGAATCCTGTGGTCTCTCGCAAATCTATGAGAGAGAGAGAGAGTAAAATCTGGGTTTCTATTCTTTTTTTATTTTCCATATTTTGTTAATTAATTTATTAACTTTATTGTAAATTGTAAAATTATTGTAGTGGGAGATGATCGGCTGTGTGACGAGGAAGAGAAATCTAAAACAATCATTCCATCGACCAATGACACGTGTACAGTATGAGGTAGAGTAACCCCTATTGACTAATACCAACACATCTGAAAAAGCCAAAAAGGAAATACTCATTTACTTTTTCTAAAAAAAATGTGAAAAGAAACATCTTCTGATTTCACCTGCACACGTGGCAGAATCCCTTAATGCACTGGTGGGTCCATATTCAGGACATTGCACAAACGGTCCTTTGAGAAGAACCTCCAGCCGTTCGATCTGCTTAGGGGAATGGTGCTTGTTAAATGGGCTTGATTGACATTTTGCAGAGGTGGGGTCAGGGTGAGTGGGTGTTGAAGAGCTGAAAACGAGTGGCCCTGATTTAATCAGGAGTTCTTCGTATAGTTTAATCCTCGTGCTAGCTACACTGTATCGTTAGCAACAAAACCCTCTTTTCTTCTCTTCTAAATTTTGGAAACATCCAATATTTCAATTAATAAGAAATATTATTACATTGATAGTGGAAAGGACGAAATACAGCAGATTCATGGCTCATGATGCTAAAAATTAAATAATTAAATAAAGGTCCACCGTTCATAACAGGAAACAACACTTATTTCTCATGGGGCTACACAACGGTGGTAGTCCGTTACCTATACAAACCACCAGCCCACATCATCCTGGTGAGAGTGTAGCTGTCAATGGGTTGGATTCGGTTCGGGACAGGGTGGACAAGCCTTGAGCCGATTATTTAGCGTCTGTTTGGCATGGATGCCGTTGCTCTTAAAACGATGACACATCAGCCTCACGTAAAAAAAATAGTGCTCCAAGAAACATTAATATGTTTGGATTAAAAAAAGATGTTCCAAGCCGACTTGAAACAATGTCAAATTTGATATTTTTTCATATTGTGAGTCGTTGCTATCAAAAAGAAATGATATGGCATTGATGCGGACTTCCTATAATGGGTAGCGGTGTTAAAAACAGATATGCAATATTTTCAAATAAAAAAAAAAGGCATTGTTCTCTCATAAAATGTTGCTTCCAACCCACACACTGCAGCATTAGTGCCAAATATATACTTAGTATGTGTTTGGTTTTGTGGGCGTTTATGGATAGAGCATTTATTTGCACTTTTTCACTTTAAAAATTTCCTATTTTTGTTGTTTGATTGAATTTCACTTTAAACTTTTTTGACTCTCTACCTCACATTAATGCATGGTAAAGTGTGTCACATCAGCATTTGGTTTCAAGAAATGTTGGGGCATTAGGAGAAATAAGAATTTAATATTTCCCCAAATGCCACATGCACAAAATTCAAAGTGTTTCCATTTCTATCATTTATTTGATAAACGGTGAAACCAAACAATTATTTCATTTTGCTTCATCTATAATAAACGTCAACACCTATGTGGCATTGATGTGGCAACATTTTTTCAGTAAACAACAATAAAACCAAACATCCCTTTAATCGGTTCTTATAACATCGACCCAAAATTGAATCAATTATTAATCGGGATAATTAAGTATAAACCAATTAGGTGATGTTTGGCATTCGTGATGGTTCTTCTTTATCTATTTAAAGCAATGTTTTTTCAAAATCGATAAATTTTGTTATTTGGTGTAATTTTTGCAATATAAGTTGATTTTTGAAAAAATCAATTTTGAGTGTATTTGGTACTGATTCTCAAGGCTAATTATTTTTGTATTATAGTTATTATTCAATGCCGTTATGCCATTTTCAAAAAAATCAAAATTTCCTATAAATCAGAAAATCATATGGTTTTAAAAAATAATTTTTTTGCCGCTTTTTTTTAAATTACTAAAATTGACCAACCAAATAAAATTTTCAATAATGATTTTCAACCTTTTTATAATATAAATGATAATAAATAGTAACCCGCTTATATGTTGTTAAAGTGACTGTATTTTATCAAAATTATCTTATATATGTTCATCACATAAAATATAACAAAACTAAAAAAAAAAACATAATACCTTTATACATTATTAACTCGGTTCGGGGGTCTTAATCGGTTCAGAACAGAAAGAACCGGTCCCGGTGCAAGTATTAATGGGAACAGAAACCATATAAGCAGAACTGACATATCACAACACGGATCCCCCAAATTCTTTTCTGGGTCTGACAAATTGTCCACGTGGCAAAGAATTCTGTCCCATAAAGCATTGTTAGTGGCATTCCTCTAAAAAATAATACAACATCCAGTGTAAGAATAAAATATCATTTATTTTATTAACCGTTTGCTTGTTCATTGAGGGGAATGATTATATTATTTATTATATGTTGATCTTGGGCCATCAGGCCCATCACTAAGCATCTACACCATACACGCCATGTTACATTGGACAATTTTGCAGTGGAGGGATGATATTGCAAATTTAGACAGTCACAGGGTCCCACATACACGACACTTCCCTTTACCCATAGAAATTTCTAGGGTTCTTTTGATAATATTTATATTTTTCTTTTTTTATAAACTAAGGCAGGTAAGAGACAGATTACCTCCCATGTGATGGAGGCTTTTTTCTATGAAAGTAACAGGAATATTGACCCGCAAACTGACCCATTTTAGTACGTAGTATTAGTTAGGGGATGTCAATGGGTTGGGTTAAGTGTAAACCCGCAATGACCCGACCCTGTTGCTCTTGCTGAATTATACAAATAGAAGCTTGGTTGACTATATATCCTCTCTATTTAGTCGGGTTCGGGTTGACCCACTGCATCTCATCAATAAATCTAACCCCTTAAAAAGAGATTAAAAAGGAGAAACTTTCCAACACTTTGAAAGGAGCTAAGGCTACTTTTGCAGATGGATAGCCACATACCTATGTTTGAGAGGATATTAAATCTCAAGGCTCAGTTTGGAAGGAGTATAAATACAAATATGTATAGTATAAATACTGAAATACATATAAAATAATATAAAATATAAGGTTTTGTCTTCTACAAATTTGTATTTGTATTCCTTCTAAACTGAGCCCAAATGTTATAGACTTAATAGTGGGCGATTTTCTTGAATGAAAGTGAAAACCCTTAGAAATGAAACTCCATAAATGGATCCCTTTCTTATTCTTCTTTCGAGTTCACATCTGTGCCCCACAATATTCCACAGTGCATTCCCGCCTTGTATTGGGAACATCTCCCGATGATAATACCAGACATCATTGGGAGATGTTCCCAATACACGGCAGGGATGTGCTGTGGGACATTATGGGGCGCCCCCCTGTGGGGCAGAGATCTGAACTCGCTTCTTTTTCCTTAAGATCTGCTGATTTTGATTTGATGGTGTAAAGCTTCACTTTCTAACAGGAATTTGAATCTAAAAGCCATAGGCTTGTCTCAGAATTTGGATTTCATCATTACAAAATTGTCCTCACGGCCATCTTAGAATTCAGATTTTGTCCGCACAGCTCTCTTAGAATGTAGATTTAATGTTCACAAAACTGTCCTCACAGTCAGAACCCCTTGTAAAAATATCTCCTATGAATAAAAGCATATAAATACGGAAATGTTATTAATGCACGCTGCAAAAAGATGTAAGAATGGTGTGAAGACTAAACCCGAATTCCTTGTCTCGGGGGTGGGATGTCAATTTGAGACGGTAAAGTAGACAGAATTCATGAAAACACCATAAATCCACGGAACAAGACAGCTAGGGAAGAGACCCGGAAATATTCTGCTGGGTGCCCCCGCAGCTTTTCAAATAATTAATTTAACATTTAATAAAGCTTAAGGGTCCATTTGGTTTGCTCTCCGAATTGAAATTAGAATCAAAATTCAATAGAATGGTATTTGATGAGGGCAGATATGGAACTCCACTGACATTGTGACATGTGGCATCTCAGAATAATTGGACAACACCTCAATACCACATAGTCGATGATTTACCTTAGCTGAAATCTGACCTAGTGATCTACCTCCGTCGACCTGGCGACCTACTTCCACCAACCTGGAGACCTACCTTTGCCAACCTAGCGACCTATCTCTGTTGACTAACTAGAATCCTAGCTGGTGGCCTCATTTACAACTTGTGCACCTCAGTAAGGTGGCTAGAAATACCTTGTCCAGGACCTGTGGTACCTCGTCGTTACTGGTCCAAGTGACCTCAACGCGGGAAACGACCTCCCTTGAGGACTTATCAACTTAATGGTGTAGGGCAACGGCCAACTCTTGACAGAGGTTGGGAACAAATACAATGTGCATGCATGACTGTTAGCAAATTATTCCCAATTGGGCATACAAAAGAGAAAGATTTTGGCCGATGTAGTTACATTCAAACAGTCACGATAGGTGTAAGTTAATTCAGTCTAAGTCCAATTCAAGCATTAAGTTTTAACCAATTAGATTCAAATGGTTTGTTGTAAAACGTACAAACTTGGTGAGTCATGATTCTATATGCTTAATTCCTAGGTCCCCTAGTTAAATTGGTGGTCTTCATGCATATGCTCAAACCATCTTAATCAGATTTTGACCCCATGCCATCACATAAAAGCCTGATTTTCTTTAAGCATATAAAAATATTATATATAATATTCTACTCTTATATATTTTTAGCATTTTATATTTATAAGTTAAAAAATAATTAAATTTTATTTTTTTTCATTTTAATAACAATAGAACATAGTTGGATAAAATCGAAATTCAATGCAAGTCTAATATTTTAGATTTTGGATCAAATTCGGAATTGTAATTTTAATAATCAATTCAGGTTCAAATGTAGTTGGACCCATCTGAATTCGACCCAACTACAGCTCTATTTGGTACTCCATAGGTCCCTAGTTCACTAGTTCAATTATGATTGGTCAAATTGATGACATTTGTTTTGATAATTTATGGGGTATTTTATACTGT